AACCACTTGCTTTGGGACTGCAATTCCGTTTCTTTCCACTGGGCCACCAGAACTCCCTTAAACAACACTAGTAAGCCAAAAATTGTTTCGTTCTCAGTGTACTAACAACCATTATATTGAAAATATCCATTAAAAAATCCTAGTATGTTATTTTAAAGCCCACTCATATACATTCATAATACTAGGAAGGATGGAGTTGATATTATATTAGGAAAAATGAAGGGCCAGTTAAATAAGTAAGACCCTTAACAAGATGGATTGTTGGGTGACTCCCTGTAGGAATAGACGCACATGGGTCAGAGATGATGAAGATAGTATAGGATAGGACTAGATTCGAATCTGTTATTCATAGGGTTGCTGAGTTGTACTCTACTTGATGGCACCTAACAGCAACAACAATATGTAAATTTCACTTTCCATTCAACTCTCTTATCCACACAACCCTATTTAACTTACATGATGCCACATGACTTGTTTTGTGAACTGAATTAGGAATGGAAATCACACCCATTTTTCTACCAACAGTTTAAAGTAGGTCAGTACAAACTGGGATTTGGTTTGGGTTGGTGGGTTGTTTTGGGGGGTTGTGTTTGTTTGTTTGTTTTTAACAATTCTCTCAGCCATGGTCATTAGTTATGTTTTAGACAGAGATTTCTAGATCAGTTATATTCCAAGAGTAATAAAATATAGTCTAGTACTAGTAGAAGCTCAGAGAACTCTGTTAGTGCTGAGGAGTTTGCTGTCAACCCAAAGGCATATAATTTGAATTTATCAGTTGCTCCATTGGAAAGACAGGCAATATCCTTCTGTGAGATTTACTACCTCTGAAAACTCACTGGAAGGTCAGCAATGAGTTAGTGCTTCTCTAGAGGTTTGATGGGCATTATCCTTCGGTCTCCTTCAAAGCCCACTGGAGGGTCATCTGTCAGTGCAGACTTATAGTAATGAGTTGAGTTAATGAGATTACAGTGATTCATAGATGGAACATAATACAATAAAATTCTCAGCAGTTTTTTTCTAGGCATTTACAAGCTTATTTTAAAATCTATAAGGAATACAAACTACCTAGAAGAGTCAAACAATCTTGAAAAAAGCTCAAAGTAAACTATTTGATTTCCAAATTTATTACACGATAGACATTGTCTATTTAGAATAAGGATAGACAAAATACAAAGTCCAGAATTAGACGCATAAATATTTTATTTTTTAAGAGCTTTAGAAGTTTAAAGACTGTTGTTGTTAAGTGCCCTGGAGTTGAGCACACCTCATAACAATGCTTAGAACAAGACATGAAATCCTGTTTTATAACTATCATCATTTCTCTACATACATAGAGTTTCTAGAGACATTTTGTTTAGGAAGTGGATACCTCTCCTGCTTCCAAGCCTGTCTCAATCTGGGAGCTCCGCCAAACATTGTCCACAATGGGTCACCATCGTATTCAGAATCACAGCAACCCCTAGTTACTTTGGTTGGTACAGCAAATTGACAGACCAGTGCTCTACCATTTAGAAGAATGTTCATTCCAGACACGAGTGACATCAGGACTGAGGACCCAATAGCCTTTTAAATATTAGGCCCACCCACCAGGTGCTGGTTGACTCTAATCAAGAGCCTTTCAGCCCAAAGCTCATATAGCTATATCCAGAAAACTCAATCAGCTCACACCCAACTGTGAAAAAAAACCAAAAAACAACAATCAAACCAAAACCAACCAAACAGCCCACACTTTACTCTTACCAAAACAAGAGAATCCACCTTCCATAATCCAATCACTTCATATATGAGCCTCCAAAGTGCTAAATACCAATATGGAATACAAAAAAAACCATAACTTGTTTAATGTCATTATAGGTTTTACAAATATTAACTTGAAATAGAGCATAGATCTAAAGCTAAATAGTAATGCAAAACTTTCCAAAGGAAACATCAAAGATAACCTTCAAACATCTTGAGTGATTAAAATTTAAACATAGAACAAAAACATACATCATAAAATTAAAAAAAAACAACAGCAAATCAGACTTTACCTATACTTAAGAACATCTTCTTTTCCAAGAAATATTTTTAAGACAATGGAACAACCAATAAAAATATTTGACTTAATGGTGCCTGTAAGTGGATGTAGAATATTTTAATCAATCATCAAAACTTAACCAAAAGATTTCCAGTTTTTGAGGCATAATAGATGTAGAGAGAAACAGGCCAATTATAGTCAATAGACACAGGAGAAAATACATAGACTGATGCAGATGGCACCCACCTTTACACCGAGAGGATGTTAACATTCATCGATATCGTCAATCTACATATGGAGTTGAAAAGCATGGAGAGTCAACCCTAAAGATACCAATAAGGTGGGAAGAAGTTGGCTACCAAGAAGTTACTATGAAAAGTGACCATAACTATTTACAAATAAACATAAATATTCAGCAGAACTCTCTTCCTTCTCATCTCCAGCCATGAAGTGAAAAATAATCCTATTTTACTCTTAGGCATGATACCAAAGAACAGGATTATTGACTTACTAATATATTATGCAAAGTACCTATTTTTTTTAAATATTACCCCCAAAACCATGTACTGTTACTATAATAATATTACTGCATAATAATGTCTGCAAAAGTTTGTCAGGTACAAGCCAAAATAAATATTTGCATGAATGGGGAGAAAAATAATTAAGAAGAAATGGCAAAGCAAAGACTCAAAGGAAATTCTTGTTATAGGTATATCTAAGACATTAAGTGCATTGCACTTAATATAACTAAGGAGAGGGAGCTCTCGTGGCCTACTTTGTTGGGGTTTACTCTGTTAACTCAAATCCACCAGAAGCTCTGCAATCTCCTCTAATACAACTTTTAGGCTTGGAAAATCCACTGGAGGGTCAGCTATGAGTTAATTCTTACTCTAGTGCAATGAGAGAAAGAGATAGACAAAGAATCCTTACAATTTAGTAATAAGATGGCAAACCAACAAATATAAAGATAGGCCAATGATTGGGACAATTCACACATAAAAATGTAATAATAAACATGTATATTTAATAATTATATAAAAATATTAATATCACCAACAATTAGGTAAATTTCAAGTCTTACTTATTTTAATGCTCCTTCTCTAATACACATCCAATTTTGTTGTTGTTCTTAGTTGTGAGTGAGTAGATTCTGACTCCCATGTTCAGAGTAAAACTGTTCCATAGTTTCCAAGGCTCAGACTTTTTAGAAGCTGATCATGTCTTTCCATTTTTTTGTATGTCTGTGTGGGTTAACACTACCAACTTTTTAGGTAATAATTGAGCACTTCTAACAATTTGCAATACCCACGCATAGCATACACCCATTAGAATGGCTTTTAATAAGAATTGGAATAACTAATTTTGTTGTTCTGATATACCATAAGTTGGAAAGACCCTTATCTGGTAGGTTTTTAGAGGCAGTTAATCTCTTGGGAGGAGACTGCTCATCCTTCTCCAGCAGAGTAGCTGGTGGTCTTCGAAACACTTTCCCCCAGGATTGTAGTGCAGCTTCTTGCCACTAGGCCAGCAGAGTTCCAATATTTAGGGATGGTTTTTTCAGTGAGTGTGTATGCAACAGCTTCAACTCATACACTTTCATAGTCACACTCACTCACTAACAATCATTGGATTCAAAGTGCTCCTCCATCAGGGACTGGGAGAACAGTCTGTCCCTTTTTACAAAAGTTAAATATACAACTCAGGACAATGAATGAAGAAAACAAGAGAAGAACAAAGATATTTTAAATTATGTTACAGGGAAAATATTAAATATATTGGTAGATTTCTAGAAGAATAAATAGTGTTGTAGTCTTGGATGTGACTTTGGATATATTATCAGAAGGATCAATCCCTACAGAAAGATATTAAGCTTGCTAAAACAGAATTGGGGGGAAAAAAGAACACTCTCATTTATGCTGGATTAACATAATTAATGAAATAAAGGGTTCAAACATCACAAAAAATTATAAGAATGGCAAAGAACTGAGCAACATTTTGTCCTGTTCACTGTCAGTGAGAATTGATACTAGGGCACTTAACAAGAACAATATCCTATAAGATACCCAATAACACTTAAAAGTAGTTTTATTCATAACATCAGACGTTGTAAATACCACATGCTACCAACAAGTGATTAGATTAACAATTTAGGGTATATTGTTGTTGTTGTTGTTGTTGTTAAGTGCCGTCGAGTCGTCGGCAACTCATAACAACCTTATGAACACAAGACCTCAACACCTGCGTGACTTTCATCCTTTCTCCAGGTTCATAGGGTTTCTGGAGGCAAGCTATTTAAGGAAGCCTGCTTCCAAGAATGTAGGGCATACCCTTCCAAAAGTATACTATTCAATGATATAATGGTATAAATTACTGGTATAAAATTAAACGTGAATAAATCTCCAAATCAATATACTGATCAAAGAAGCCTCACTAAATATTAAAATTCCGTATAGTAGACAGTTGTTGTGTACTGAAGAGTCAGAACTGGCCCATAGCTGACCCTCTGGAGAGTTCCTAGAGGCAGTTAATCACACAAGAGGAGACTGTCAATCTTTCTCCCATGGAGCATCTGATGGATTTGAACCTGTGGCTTTGGTATTGCAGTGTAGTTTCTTACACGGTACTAGACCACCAGAAAGAGGACCACACTTCAAAAAAATAAGTCTGAGTGATGACATGACTTTGAAAACTTGGAAAGGAGAAAAAAGAATAGAAGAGTAGGTGCTTTTTTTGCTAGGAGAACTTTCTATCATCTTCATGACGTCAATTTTATAAAAGAATCTACATCTGTATCATTTTAATTTGTGCAGTCTAGCCAAAACACAGAGATGCCATGTTTGAGTTACCAAGGTACTACTATTAAGTTATGTGCTTTATAACCTCTGAACAGAAATGGATGTTGCAAAACTATAGAATGAAAATAGAGTCTCTCATTTGGTGTCACTTTTGTTGCATGAAAGAAGACAAGGAAACGTGAGCATCTTCAGTGAGGCAGCACAAGTTCATAATCATGATCATGAGTGCAAGAAGGGGATCTAGAAACACAAGCTCCCTTGAGCAGAGCATATTCTGTTTCTAACCCATCTCTAATTTGTCTCGGTCTCTTTGTTTTGGAGTCAATGTTCTCATAACCATCATCAAGGGAGCCCAGGGAAGAACTTTGAAAGCTGCCATGATCAATGATGGTATAACAAACTTCTTCAGAAACATTGTCATCCTCATTTTCCTGCAAATCACAAGGAAGAAAATAAGTAAGGATAAGAATTCTCCAATAAAGCTCAGTAGTTAACACTTTTTTCTTTCTATGTGCACAAGGGCGGCTCTTATAGAGTGTCTGGTGTCTTGTTGGTGTTAGTTACATAGAGTCATACCTAAATTACCATTCACTCAAGTCTTATTTCATTGTAAAAGAATTAAAGAAGAAAAAAAACCAACACTTTCTTCTCTGAATAGCTAAATAAAAATAATAATCAACTTTGGGTCATGCGTATTGATAAGCAATATACACAATGATAAAAACTCAACAAGTAAGTTATAATTGTAGAATACTATTAATAAAAATTATAATTAATTATCAGTTTATGCTGGATCTTATGATGGCCTCTTGTGTCTTGAGGACGGACACATATGGAATGTTCAGGGCTCTTAAGGCTTTCTTTTCATCCCAAGTGGGTATCAGCAGATGGGACTTACATGAATTGGGGGTCTGGTTGTAATTGGTTTTGGTCAAATATTCTTCTAGTCATATAGCACTGGTCTGTCCATTTGCTGTACAGTGGTAACTTATGGTTGCCATGATGCTGAACACTGTGACATTGATGTATCAAATGCAATAGTGGTTACCCATGGTGGACAGTGTTTGGTGGAGCTGCCCAATTAAAACAAACTTGGAAGCAGGAGTGGCATCCACTTTCAAAATAGCTTGCCTCTGGAAACCCTATGAACTTGAAGGAATGATGAAAGTTATACAAGTGTTCAGGTGTTTAGTTCATAGGTTTGCTATGGGTCGCCTACAACTCAGTGGCACTTAACAACAACAACAACAACAATTGTAGAATACTATTAATAAATACGAGAATTAATTATTCTATAGGCATTCATAGAAAAAATAAGTCAAGCTATTTTATAATAATAAAATAGTA